TGCTGGCATCCAGAGGACCTCAGGTGAGAGAACGGGTCCATACAACAGAGACAACACACCTTACACTCCCATATACCTAAAGCAGGGATGCACCAATATGAACATTTTGGTCGATACAGATAACCAATCTTTTTTTTTTATTATTTGAAAGCCGATAACCGATATGTTGGCCGATAAATCTATATCCAAATTTTTATATACTTTTATAAAAAAAGTCTCATCATTAAAAGCCACATCCCAAACACTTCAACATAAGCAGTTTGAACAGTGTACGTTTTAAAAATAATTTTACTCTCCTATTACCAAATTTCATCACAAAAAGTCTTACAAATAAATAAAATAATGCATAAATAATGCAAACAAGTCATCTCATGTCAAGTGTCTGTGAAGGAAATAATGCATTATTTATCGGCTTTAAGATATCGGCCAAATTTTCTTATCGGGCCGATACCGATAACAGAAAAAAGGAGCATTTCGATAACAGAAAAAAAAGAGCATTTATCGGCCAAAACCGATATGGTGGCAGATATATCGTGCATCCCTAACCTAAAGATTGACCGATATTCTATGTTTTAGAACCGATACCGATTATTTGCATGTTAGTGTGAACGGCAACCAATATACGTAACCAATATTTATTTATTGTTTACAATGATAAAAACAGTACTGAACTGAACATGTATTTTAGTTATAATGCTGTCAATACTGTAATTTCCCTCCCTCCTTGCAAACACAACAAAACAACTCTTATTTCTACATACAGTGGCTAAAATATCAGGAAAAGTATCGGTTAAACCGATTATCGGTCGACAGGCTACAGCTGCGCTTCAGCTGAGAGTGGATCCCATGCTATCCATGTGCACCTTGTTCCTTGTCTTCAGAGAACAGTGTTGCATATATAGCTTTACGTTTTCCAGTCATGCTCATTAGGGGAGAGATAAAATCATTAAGGTCCTACCATTAAGACGCCGAGAGACCACCAGTCAGCGCTCTGCGTGTGACCTCTCCGGTTGACCACCTCAGGGGACATATACTCCACAGTGCCACAGAATGAGTACGCTTTTTTGTCCTGATCTACCGATTCTTTACTGAGCCCAAAGTCTGAAAAAGGCAGAGCAGCACATCGGTCACATCTGCATCACCAAGCTAAACCTGGGGTGTCCAACTCTCCTCCTGGAGTCACTGTCCTGCAGAGTTTATCGAGGATTACGTGAAAACTACAGGCAGGAGCCGACGGCCCTCCAGCAGCAGAGCTTGACAAACAACCCCATCATGACACAAACACACCACACATGACTCAATCATTTTAGAGAATCAAACATTACAGAATTGCCTGATATCTACATGCACAAGTTCAACAGGCAGGGAAGTGTAATAAGGGGACAACGGTGCGTACCTGTTAACTTGATATGTCCAGCTTCATCAAGCAAAATGCTGAAAATTAAGACCACATTTCTCCAATACAGATACAAAAATACATGAACTAAACAAGAGTCAACAAACAAAATCCAAAACCTCTCGATTACAATCTTGAACATTGGTTCTGTCAGATAAATCCATCCTTATTTAATAAAAGATCAAAAGGAGAGGGCAGGTGAAAGCCAGAGACGGAGACAGAGAGAGAGTGGTTTCTACTCTACACACAGAGAGAGAGAAGCGGAGAGGTGAAGGGGGATACTTTACTTTTCAGGCTTCAGGTCTCTGTAAACAATGCCTAGGTTGTGTAGATGATCCAATGCAAGGGCCAGCTCTGCAAGGTAGAATTTCACACCCTCCTCTGTAAACATAACCTAGTAAGAACTGGACAGATTTACTCTCGCATCAAAGATCACAAACAACAACATAATGCACAGCATCATAATGACAGAGATAGAAAGAAGCCAAATTAATATCAATTTGCGACAGGGTGGGGGGGAACAATTAATGCACACTAAATAATCTGATAACACACAAATCTAGTTTTACTTTAGGAACTAATTAACACATCATTTTTTTATACAATGCATTTACTGGCAAATGCAACTGAAAACTGCATTTGAAAACAGTGCACATGAGTTTTTACACTGCCTTCACATTATTAGGTGTTTACATGCACTCATTCTTAATCCAACTGAATCCAGTCCATTTCAGAATCTGAAAGTTCTGTTTATATTAATCCATATGATTCACATGTACATTCGTTTACATGTTGCCACATTCAGGAACGGAGAAAACAAATGTGATAATGTCACTTTTTGCCTTAATGAAATGTCTAAGAATAAAATTGATATATATATAGATAGATATATATATATATATATATATATATATATCTATCTATCTCAAAGGAGCTTTTTTTTAGCAAATATTTCGTCTCCTCCACATAAACACACACATACTTGTAAGACATAAGATGTAATTAAATATGCATGAGGTGTTTTTGAATCTGAAGCCTCAATCTCTAATGTAAGAGTCGATTCAATTAAACTTTTGTGGCAACTTTTGTGCCTGGTGGCGACGGTGCACATAAAACAACGTTTTCAAAACAGAAAAAAAGTACAGTACATATGTACAAATAAATAAATAAATAAATAAATAGAGAAACCAATAAATAGAAAAAAAAATTATTTGAAACACAATTGTCTGGCAATGTACACAGACTAAAGACCTGCTAACAATCACTGCAAATTTTCACTGTGACTAAAAAATGAATCAGTTCTCATCTGTGGATCCCAACACACTGACTGCAAAATAGAATAATTTTCTGCCAACTTCTTCCAAGAGGTAGAGAAAAAAAAACCTTGCTGACCAATAGGATATAAGTTTTGGGTTTCACAGCACGATACAGGAGATATCATTACAGATTTACAACAGAGCTGTATTTTGCATTAGAGAATAAATCTGTGTCAAATGAGTCCTGCACTAAAGCATGCAAATGAACGTAAGACAATTGCACTCTGGATGAAATTCTGGGTGATTTGCGCATATAATTTTTGAACAAGAGATGCTTACCTCTTTGGATAAACGAGTAAATACATCCCCACCCCTGAGAAAATCCAAAATTAAATAGAGTTTCCCTTCTGTCTGAAAGGCTGGAAGTGAAAAAAAAAAAAAACAGTATCAGAGCTGGGGAATTATGGGGAATTCTATGGAAATGTCAATCATACCACGAAAAATAAATAAATAAAGCAAGCAAAGGAACAAAATCACTTTTAAACTGTCCCTTTAAGTCTATATTCATAGTATATAATGGATTTTTTGTCACATACATTTAAGTATATTTTATGGTTTCAAAAGAAAACACGGTATCAGCATCTTTCCATTAGACAGAGAAACGGTCATAACTGTACTGCTTTCTGAATTCATAAGAGCCACATTTACAAAGTGACTGGGCTCGAGTGATGCTGTAAACTTCTATGCAAAGCAAACGGTCTGGAATGTGTAAGTTTCACCAAAATGGGCTGAAATGATCACTGGACAGATCTGGACACAGGGCTGACCAAACCAAGATGAAGTTTGGTTTACTTTATTGGCATTATGATCTGAAGAAACCTGCCAAGTTTGGTGACAGCACCACCTACAGGTCACGAGATCTGTTTTTGTAAATACACTTTAGAAACACTTATCCTAAACGAATGCATTTCTATTACCAGAAGCGGACAATATCAACAAGTGCATTATATTTTCACTGCAAATTGTCTGTAACATTCAAATTCCTCCTCAAAATCTACATCTTGTCAAACAGCCCCATAACCATCACTCAGAAGGTTTCTCCAAGAGTCTTACCATAGTGCAACTTCACAATGAAAGGATGATTGACCTCCACCAGAATATCTCTCTCCATCTTAGTGCGAACTCTGTCCCTCACTGCAACACAACACACACAAACGAGGAATAAACACGAGTATATCATCACAGAAGTGTGTTGGCACTAATGCACACTCACTGACCTTTTAAAGATGCCTTTTTGAGCACCTTCATTGCATAAAGCTGACCGGCATCCGGACCCATCAACTTCCGCACCAAAAACACCTGAGGACAGGACAGATCACATGAAAACAAAACCTGATAGCTTGCAACTGGGACAAATGCACTGGCTGCCACGCAAACTGACTGTATTACAGTGCTAGTAAACCGTAAACTGGCTTTTTTGCAAGCTGGCTCCAGTGAAACAGCGGACTGCAGGTTCCTCTTGACAATGGATCTCGCAGCTTCACCAACAGCTCAGGTGTTGCATCAGAGCCGAGGTAGTGATTGAGGCGCATTGGTCATACAATAAGTTTCTTTGCACAGCTATGCAATATTAATACTCCTGCACGTGATCAGTCACTCCTTGCTAATGTTGATATCATTCTGAATGTTCTGAAGAGTAGTTTATTTTGCACGATTTGCAGAACTGCAAAAACACACAGAAACACCAGCTGCACTGTTTATCAAAAAATGTTGTTTCCCATGTAAATACTCTAACCTGTTAACATGAGCAGCAAAAAAAGCATGCGCCGCTCACACTTTCGATGTAAAACCTTGTAATCAAAATGCACTGCAGCAGTCTAAGACTTCTGTGAAGAATAGGGTTGGGTATCATTTGAATTTTATCGATTCTGATTCTGCTTACTCATACTGATTCTTATCGATTCCTAGTTTCGATTCCAATAAGTTAAAAAAAATCAAACATATTTATTCAGTGTTTTTACAGTGTTCTGCTGCAGCTGAATAACATGAGCAGCCTACAGAACACTGAGGAACTTTTGCCTATGGTTTTAACAAAAAATACCACAGCAAAAACAACAAAAATTCAATATTAAATTGTTAAAGACAAGTAAACAGTCAGTAATAAAATGGGAACAAACAAATCAATATCCAATTGCATAAATACAACTGAACAAATTTCAGGTACAGCAATTGAAATCAAAAGTTTAAAAACACTATAGTTCTCTTTTGACAAATAAAATATTAATCCTCATTAAAGTTACGAAAGCTATTCAAGTCAAGATCAGTGAATGATTTTCTTTTGTTCTTTGATTAACATTAATGACAGGCAGCACATTTATTAGGCTGCTGTGTCTTTAACACCGAACCTAAAAATATTGTTCCACATGCATTTCTTTCAAAACTGTTTATGTTCATTTAAGACAAAAAAACAGCTGTGTTTATGATGATATACTGATGTATTTGTGTGTATTTTGGTTGGTAAATGTAAAAGAGAAGTCCATCCCGGCTCGGAAAAGCCTTTTCTGCAGTGAAATGAACAGAATGGTTGGAGAACGGACTGATCCATAGATACCAGGAGCGTTCGGTTGCTGTTATCATTACTTAGGGGGTCCCACAAGATCCTGAAGCCACAAGATCAGGCTTCCAATGCTACTGTACTCATTTATAGTAATAATGTTAGTTGCTAAATGCACAGATAAAGTATTAAGACTGAAAAAGAAAACAAATAACACTAGACAGATTTATGACATGACTCGTAATTAGGCCTGGATACAGGGCTTTCGCTATACAGAACACAAGGAAACAAATTATTCATTATCTTTGGGTGCATCAAACAAAAAATAAAAACATTTCAGAGCAAACAGCTCTTCTCAGGTAAAGCACATTTGTGACCCTGGACCACAAAACCAGTCATAAGGGTCCATTTTTTTTAATTGAGGTTTATACATCTATACAAAGCTGAATAGATATGCTTTCCATTGATGTATGGTTTGTTAGGACAGGACAATATATGGCTGAGATACAACTATTTGAAAATCTGGAATCTGAGGGTGCAAAAAAATCTAAATATTGAGAAAATCATCTTTAAAGTTGTCCAAATGAAGTTCTTCGCAATGCATATTACTAATCAAAAATTAAGTTTTGATATATTTACGGTAGGAAATTTACAAAATATCTTCATGGAACATGATCTTTACTTAATATCCTAATGATTTTTGGCATAAAAGAAAAATGTATAATTTTGACCCATACAATGTATTGTTGGCTATTGCTACAAATATACCCCAGCGACTTAAGACTGCTTTTGTGCTCCAGGGACACATTTAAGACAGGAACCCAAGTGTATGACTGTATTCTAATAAGCACAGATCAATCAGCTGCCACAGCAAAATTGAGACCAGTTTTGAATTGTATAATTGCTTATTGAAAATAAGACATAATATTTCAAACTTGAGATCTGAGGTCGAGAAAATGTATTTGAAACTTCAATAAATCAAACCTGGAACTGAAAATACCACTTTAATTTCTATACTGCTAATGTCTAAGGTTTCCTGCCATTATTATGTTGCTATGTTAAATTCAGGGTTTCTGCAGACATGAACAAGTTAAATTTAAGACTTTTTAAGACCTTTTTAATACCACCTTATATGAAATTTAAGACCTAAACCTGTAATGGAAATACACATTTTATTACATACATATATGTAATATTTAATGTGTTTCAATTAAAAAGAAAACAAAATATCATTGCTGTAATAAATTATATTTATTACTACGATATACAGTGAACTTTTAATGTCAGCAGACAATATTCCATACAAAATATCCCTGCAAAATAACTGCATCACTGAGATTTTTGGTGGAGTAAACAATTTATTCTGAAACAATATTTCCATCAGTGTTCTATCAGCTTTTACATACTTAAATCTGCATATTTACCTTTACAAAGGCCTATTTTTAACCAAATTATTACAATTTATCAATAAATTCAATATACACTATAGGGCTGCTACCAGTCAGATTAAATAATTTACACTGCAAATGACAATAATTACAACTGCAATAAATAATGTTATGAGATGAAGGTTTTAAATGCATTTATGAGTATACAAATAAGAAATGTTGCGGGGAAAAATGCATACTTCTCAACAAACTTCTCAACTGAACTACCAGTAAGTCACTTGATGAGTGAGCATTGAGTCATTCATTCAACTGATTGAGTGTGTTATCATGCTGCTATCTTAAGGACTTTCGTGGACAGGTGACTCCTAAAGGTTTTGATATTCTTCATATTCTGTGTGGTGGTCAGATAGAAATTAATATATCATGTTATGAATAAACTAAACCACAAGGAGCTTTTATCGTGTACAAAAATGTGTTGCTCATAAGGGGGGAAAATTCAAGAATTTAACTGAAAAACGCTGGAAAAAGTGGCTTGTAAACTTGCGTCTGCGGTCGGGAGGAGCGGAGCCAGATAATGCTCGTGTGTGCAAATGGTTAATATAAGATAATAATATATTAAAATATTTAAGACATTTTAAGACTTTTTAAGGACCCGCGGACACCCTGAAATAGTTTTCCAGTCATTTTGGAGTCATGTGCAAATGAGTGTCTTCACAGTAAGAACTGCTGCAGCCACTGCATTTACAAAATAAATCATTCGAAGACAGATGCTTTGTTCTCCCTGCTGTACAAATATCACACCAAACCATGAAGTTTGTGCACCAACTGTTAACACGTATGAAGTGAAAGAATCAGACCTTCCCAAAGGAGCCTTGTCCCAAAACCTTGAGCAGCTCAAACTGGCTGGGCTCGGCCTTCTCACAGCCCTCCTTCACATGATGAGTGATGGGAATCTCTTTATAAGCGCCCTCGTCCTGCACACACAACACAAGCACACACATATATCCTGACAAGTGTCTGGAGGACAGCGTTCAAAATGCAAAACAAATCTAGATTACTTACAGGATTTCATGTGACTCAGCTGATGGACACCAGTTTGTTTATTTTCATCAGAAATAAAATGGTTTTATTAGTTACTATTAACTTTATTCAGTATTATTCAAAAACTATTTTATAAAAGCTTGTGGTAAGTGGATGTGGGTTTGTAATGGTCAATGCAGATATCTTCGCCAATTTACATGCAGTCTTAATATTTAGTTAAATAATGCAAATACATTTTTAACTGTGGCTTAAGTTTCCAAATACTTTGGGGCCTCTGTATATGATATATCACAATTTAACTTAAAGATAGTAAAAAAATGCTCACCATTGCTGCAATAAAAATATTTATTTTACATAACTGAAATTATATCGAAATGACGACTAAGACTTTTCCTTGATTATCTTCTATACATACTAGAGATGCACCGATCGATCGGCCAAGGATCGGAATCGGCCGGTTTTCCTCATGATCGGCCCGGATCGGTGACCGGTCAGTCAGTCTCACTTCTTTCCGGTTCCGAGCCGATCCGATCCGTTTTGTTACCAGCGGCACAGGCAATAACGTCAGCTGCGCATTCAAAATGAGTGGCTAACTGCGCTAAAACATTCAAAAACATACAAAATTATGTCAAAATGCCCATCTTGGCGAGTATCCAGTTAAACACACTCAGTTTAGGAACGTTAAATAGTTGAGAAAGAGAACGTATCCGCGTGGATAAACTCTTAAAGGGACCGCAGTCCAATATTCCTGCTGCTGTCTGGCATGTTAATCAAAGACCAAAAGACAAAGAAAATCATTTTCTGCTCTTGACTGAATACATTTTTATAACTTTAATGGTAAGCATTCATCTGTATTTAATTTTTACAATGAAGACTACAGAAATTAAGTAATCAAATGTAAAATAACACTGGATATGTTATTTTACATTTGATTACTTTAATTTCTGTAGTATTTCTTACCTGAATAAAAACTTACTTAACCTGAAAAACTTCTTGACTGAATACGTTTTATAACTTTAATGGTAAGCAGTAATCTGTATTTAATTTTTACAATGAAGTAAAAATTTGCATGAAGTAAAAAATAACATCCAATAACACTGGATGTGTTATTTTACATTTGATTACTTTAATTTCTGTAGTATTTCTTACCTGAATAAAAACTTACTTAACCTGAAAAACTTCAAGTTTCATAGCTCTCTTTATTCTATTGCATTTATTTGTGCTGTTTTATGCAATGTTTTTTATTTGTTCTTATTTTATTACTGACTTTTTACTTGTGTTTTTTTTTTTTTTTTAATGAAAATAAAACTTTGCGTTGAAGTTAAGTAGATTATTGTTTGTATATGCTGTCAATTATAGTTCTTAGAAAGAAAATCGGAATCAGCAAAAATCGGCATCGGCAGATCACACTAACAAAAAATCGGAAATCGGCCAAGAAAATTGCAATCGGTGCATCTCTAATACATACATAACTACTGTTATATGTTTAACTGCTTTTTAACATTACATTCTAATATACAGTATAAGGCTGTTACGACAATAACATTTTAGATACCAGAGAAATTTCACAATTCTCAATTGCAATTTCAATACCAAAAGCCAAAATTTCTAGCCTAATTAATATAACATTCAAACATCTTAAAGACAAGTACTCAGTAATAACAAATAAATTACAACCAGGAACACAGTATTATTATTATTAGTAGTAGTAGTAGTAGTAGTAGTAGTATCATTGTTAAAACTACAAAAGTTATTTAGTTAAGGGCAGTGAGTGATTGTGTTTTGTTGTTGGAATGACCTCAAAGACACAGACATAATCAGGTTTATTAGGCTGCTGTCACTTTAAGACTGAATGCACAAATTCATACACATCTGATTTCCTTCTCAACTTACATTAAGTTACATAACCGACACTGTTTACATGGATACTCACAAAGATGGGCATTTTGACAATTTTGTGAGAAGATGTGACAGAGAACTGTGTATTTGTGCAATGTCTGAGAGGAGATTTTAGCAGTGCATGAGTATTGAATTGAGTTCTCTGTGCATCCTCTTGCACTTAAATGACCTGTACACACAAGTGTTTATACTGCCAATACTTTCAAACACCTGCCAATTATAAACATGTATGACGACGATGGGCATTAAAAAAGCCAGATGTTGAAACCCTGATCTCCAGTGAGTGGAATCATGGAGCGATTGAGAGAGAAAGACAGATACTCACACAGTGTGTGTAGGACTCCTCCTCCATCGGCTCATCCATCATCTGATGTCCATTCACCTGAAACAGACACAAATCACACACAGCACATCAGGCTTCTCACAGGACAGCAGCACCAGGCATCATTCGCTCTCATTAACAATTATCATTTTCAGTGGATTTGTTCTTTTGATTAGTCAATTAATTTTTCAAAATAAATCTATCAATATCTTTATGAATAGTTGATTAGCTTAATTCACTGGTTGACTTACCAATTATGATAACTAACTTCTGCTATTACATTTTTATTCAAATATTTCCCAACACACACACAGTCTCATAGCATTATTTATGCATTTGCACAGTGTAAACATCTGAATTGTCTGTGCCGATTTTGCAGTTCATTTTATTTGATTGGTAACAGCCTATTATTCTAATGTATTAAATA